CGGCGCGTGAGTTAGTTATCCCGAGGATTTAATGATATCCTGCAATCCATATCACATTTTTACAATTCTAAAGCAGTGCATATTATTTCCTTAACTCTATAAATTCAAATAATTTCTTAACGAACGCGAGGACAGCAATTCAGCAGTCCGGGTAAACGAACCCTAAGTGAAGCTGGTACGATAAAGGAACACGGTCTCACGGGATGCATTAGGCGATTAGAAGTAGGAGGCGATGGTAGTCCCTTTATCTAGCGGTAAATAGGTTTTCTTTCATAGTCGACGAGTGGCCGATCGAAGGAGCGTTGCGTTTCATTAGCAACTTTTTACTTACCGATATCGTTTCATCTAACTACCCGGTTCGCTCCTCTTCTCCATCAATGCAACGAGCTATGATGGAATGTACGAGGGCGACGATGAAAGGATGCACGGTGTACATACTTATCGAACAGCACCGTCTTTCCTGCCTTCCCCCCCTTTTTTTTCCCCTCTCGTCTTTTACGATCTCAGTAATTTTCCTCGGTCGCAAACTAAGTTTCATCGAGTAATTTAGTTGTAAAGCATCTTATCGCCGGTACGCTCTGAGATTTCCAACATTATTTAAACGACGAATTCAGATAACGAATCCTGGTGGATTTCGCTCGGCGCGAAACAGGTTCGTTTCCTTATCCAATACGATCCTCGAGATACGCGATAATTACGGTAATGGTTAAACATTGTGTGTCAGTTCTCGGTTCGGAACGACTTTTCTTCGTTTCGCGCACGTATCGCGCAGCGTTGATACCGGGCGGCCGTGAAAATTACCAACAGCAGAAAATTATGAAAACGAGCCGGCAAAGTAAAAGAAGTTAAAACACGGTACGATTTACGCGAACGTTCCGTACGGCTTCCACGAAATTCGCACCTCGAGGTCCTTTTTCTCTCGGCGCATCCTGAGCCGCTTTTACGAGCAAGAACGAGCGCGGACCGGCTGCACGAACGGCAACAGGTACAACGTGCGCGCGACCCGATCGCGTGTACACTCGAGCTGACGAAAAAGGAGGAAACGAGGCGGACGTCGGTGGTAGCGGGTGATACCACCCATTTCCGGCAGCCCTCAGGCCATCGGCCATCGTACGACCGCGCCAAGTACGAGCTGCGTGCCGCGGTTCAACGTTTAAACTCGCTTCTTCCCTTCGTTTTCTAATGCTACTTTAAGGTTGATGATCTTCCTTCTCGCGTCACGCTTGTCTCTCGCGCGAAAATAAACGAAAACGAGATTTCTTGTTGCGTCGAAGTCTCTCGGAAACGACGGAGACTTCAATTAGACGAGCACACACTGGGTGTACCGATAGAATCTCTACCTTCGTTTGTTTAATAATACGTAGGGAATCGTGTTTATGGGATTTTTAGATTCTCGCGAAATCGTGTTTCGTAGCAGCATCGAGTACGCTAACTGACCCGGAACACGGTATTTAACGCGTCATTTTCTCCTGTTCTTCGCGTGCGATGCAGCGGATACGCGATGTACCACGAGGAAATCCAAGAATGCTGATCCGCTTCGTTGGACGCGCGAGTAGACACGTATCGGTAGACGTTGCATGGATAAAATAAGCTACGATTAATATACTCCTCGATCGAACGAATTATCAGCTGTGGCATTAATTTTTTTTTAAATTATGCTTCCGATTCGTACACCTGCACACGGTAAAAAATTACTATCTGGTGACATTTTCATTGCATTTTTCAGGTTCCCTCGATCTTGATACCGATACAACGAGCTCGTCATACGAGCAGAGGAACACGTATTTATCCTCGGCACCGTACACCCAGGGTACACGGATATCTCGCCTCGAGGGCGGTTACACAAGGATAATAATTATCGTCCCGGCGTACCAGAAGAGTCGTGAGCGGTGCTGATCAAACGAGTCCGCCGAACGAGTCGTTGGAAGTGGAGGACAGCGGGGATGGGAAAGGAAACCATGGGACCCAACGAAGAATCGAAGAGCCCGGCAGCACCTGCCACGACGTGCCCTTAGGGTCCCTAGGTCGCGGATCCTCCTCCGTTCGTTTACACCTTCGCGAAGAAGCCTTTTTTCAAATTTCTCATTAACAAGATTATTGAATTCAATAAATAATTTTTTGCGAGGTATAAAAAGGAACTTAAAATGACAAAAGTCGTAAACGTAATTTATGATCGTCGATGTTAGGGGATTAAAGCATGGAATATTATTATTATTAGAATAAAAGTGATTTGTTTAATCATTAGGTCGATAAGGATGTGATATCGATAAAGAATGCAAATAGTAGGTGGCGCATATTTCCTCGAGGAAATATTCACGCTATAACCGAACAACTTTATAGGCAATTAAGATATCGAATGTTAATACGGCCGCGTTCGCTACTAATTAATTCGTGGGAAAGCATTGCGCGTGATCTTTAATAATCCCCTGGCTACCGTTGGAAAAGTCGAAGCACGTTCGATTATTTATTAAGAAGCTGGATCGCGGTGGCAGAGGAAGCCGACGTAGCCTCATTAGAATACGCGACAGAGAGGATCGCCGCGGGTGACATCGTTTAGCCTTTAATTAGTTCCAACGGGTATTAAGATTTGCGATCCGCCCCTCAGTATACGTGCAATCCTGTTCAAACGAATACACGAACGAAACGAAAAGCGATATCGCTGGACCATCGGGCGATTCGCCAGTTGCTACGCCTTCTTCTGACCCGAGGCAGCGAGCAATATATATCGAATTTGCGCTCGACAACTTAGCTCCGAGGCGGATCGATCGATAAAAAAAATCGTTTTTGACAGACTCGCGCGAAAGGGTTCCAGCTTCTACGCTACCGAATTCGATTACGCGAATCGAAACGATCGGTGCAGATCAGATTAAAAATATTTAAGCAGCATATATGTATCATTGTACCTGTTCCTTTATTAAGATCGTAAATTTATCTAAAATTGTACATAAAAAGTAAATAACTTCGTCCTGTGAAACGATCGTATTGAATCAACTTTGCGTGATAAATTTAATAAAAAAGTGTCAAGTGGTAGGCACAAATGGTAAATCTAATTTATAAGCAAAATATAGAAGCGTCTGCAGGTATGCATCTTATCTTAAGAAGCAAAGTGAATGTCCCTGTTTTCGCAACACTCGATACGCTATCCTTTCTTCGACGATATACCCGCGTACACCGGTAAACGTATTATGAATGTCCGCAAGGTGTTAATGAACGAGTTATACAAAGTTACACCTTCCAGTAGCCTAGGAGCAGTGGCAAACGAAGCGGAGAACGAGTTTACAACGCTATTAATTCATTCCAATGAGTAGGGCAAAGAAAAAGATCGTTGCAAGAAGGAGGCCCGTAACGAGGTGACAAAAACGAAACTCGAAGCCAACGGGCAGAACGTCGCGGAATAAGCTGGACGAGGGCGAGAGCGGACAAACGACACCGGTGTCGCGTGCCTTTTAATTTTCCCGTCCAGCTTGCACCCGTTAGCGACCCACTTAATTGCATCCTTTCGTTTCTGACGTCGCTTGTCTCGTCTCCGGAACACCGATCGATCACCGCCGCGGACGCACCTGCGATAAAACGTTGCGAAATCGGACGGCATGTGCGCGGATCTTAGGCCATGTTCACACCACGAATTTTAGAAGCCTTAAATTACCAGAATTTCACAAATATTCCCACCTCAACGCCTTCAATGAACGGCAGACGAAGAAAAAATAAAAAAATGAAAGAAAAAAAAACGTCTGCAAGCGAACCACAGCGAACGAATCTCATTCAAGCGGAGTCACGCATCTTTCCGTTTCCCTTGGTCCGTTCGTGAGAGATTTCTCATCCCCGCGAGAGCAGAAAACCTGCTGAAATTTGCACCGCAACGGTCTTCAAACGACGATCACGTAGAGTCGCGGTGAACACACGACGACCGCGGGCAAGTACCATAATCGTTCGGTTAACGTGGCCTGCGGGTTTTCGCATAGCAGTTTCCTTCTCCGCCACTTTCACCCCTGGTTGACGAAGAGTCCACGTAGGTGGGCATGTAGGAGCCGCGACGTCCACTTGGTATCTCCGTATCGGCTGTCACGAGTACCTCTTTCTTTCTCTGTCCCGAGAGTATCAACGTTATAGAGGGACCCGTAGCCGGACGACCGAGGTGTGGACAGAACCCGATCTACATGAGAATACGATGGGCTCCCATAACGAGAGAACGTGTAACGCCCACACGATCGCTCTGGTATCCGCACTTCCACGACACGGCTCATACACCATCACCTTCCTCCACCTCTTTCTACCCTGTCTGTCCGCGGCGAGGAACGATGATGAAGAGCGAACCCCGCGCGGGCAGATCCATTCTAACGAACGCTCGCTGCCCGTTGGATTTATGTCGCCGTTTATCAAGCGTCCGATGAAAACGTAAGCCCGTACGAATAGAGGCAGCCCTCTTGTGCGTGGTGATTCGAAGTAGAAAAGGTATCGATACCTCTTACACACTCTGCTGTTGCGTTATTATTACTCGTACACCGGGCACAGTAACTCGGTAGCCGTCCTACGGGTTCGTCCTGTTCCGAGCTGATCCTCTACCGGTCTATGCGGTTTATGTACATCGAACATAATGAATGAAACGATCGACGAACACCGCGCGACGATGCACGGGATTGTACAGGGTGCGCGAGCAGAGTGATCCGATTCGATTCGATGACTCGGAATCTTTCGAAGATCCCCTATCGATGATAGATACCTTGAAACGTGATGCGAGGAATTTATATCGGAGTTGTTAAAGTCTTTTGGTAAATTGAATTAACGTGCAGCAGTGGTAGAGAGGTTGTTCTGTTAATATACGAGGAGAGTGGGAAAACATGGCATACTGTGAGCAATTGCGGGTTTCACGTTCTTCTCCGTTAAATACGAGACGAAAATAAGGGGTGAAAGAGGAAATCTCAGAGGAGTAAAGGTATATAATAGGTTAAAGTTGGCGCGGTAACCGCGGCTATGGGGTAACAGCTATTTACTGTACTTACCTTGCCGACCGCGAAGAGAAATTGGAAGCCGTCCCACGGGTTTGCGACGCTACAGTTCGCAGCAGGAGCCAGCTCGATTGATGGGAAGCTGTAATTACAAAAAATTTTTTATGTAAACGAGAACCTTCCAGTCTCATCTTACACTTAAACTGTGCCATCCTCTAATTTATCAAACGCGAGCGCGTTACTTTCGATTCTAATTGCAATTCTACGGTATATTTTGTGGAAATAAAACAATCATAGAAAGCTACCCATCGAAAAATATCAGGCGCAATAAAACAATTGGGATTTTCCAAGTTGTTTTATTGCCGATGACGTTTTGGAGTAAGGACAGTGCGTCCTGGCTTTCCACATTTCAAATAAAGTTATTCTTCACTAGAAGACTATCTTAGTAACCTGCTTCCCACGTATCTTCAACGTATTTCAATTTTATTATATTATTAAGACCGTCGAAAAGTTAATTAAAATCTCGGCATTTTAAAATGAAACGTTACTTTCCTTCAACAGATACAAAATTCATCTATCACTCAAAAGATCGTTTAACACCTACGCGTTTTCTCTCTCGTTCTTACCGTCCGATTACAATCGGCAACTAATTGCACGCGTTTCCCGGTAGCGAAAGATTAATACAACCAGCTAAGTCTCGCGTAGGAACAATCTACCGCTGCTGTAGTTACACGCCGCCGAAGGCGTACAACTTGTTCCGCGTCTTTCCGTCGATTCATCCCGCAACACCATGATTCTCGGTGCACCGTCATCGCTCTGATGCCTAGTAATTGCGGTTTGCATCGTCTAAGCGAGCTAATGAGTACGGCCAAATGATATTCGATCGTTTGTGGTGGACCTTGGGACAACCGAGGGAAGAAGAGGAGACGCGTTCTAGGAAGAACGAAGGAGCGGTTGATCACGGTGAAATTATGAAAAAAAACCGAGTACTACATCTTCATCAATTAACGATGCCGAGCGACCGGTCGAAAGCGACGTGTAGGAAGGTTGGAATCCATTGTACCAGGAATCGCTGGCCTCGTGGCTTCTGATTCCGCTCCCGATTCAGCGTTCGCCAACCAGCCGAGCCCCATTGGCTCGCGACGAAGAAGCAGACGGACGAACGCTCCCTAGGGAAACCAGGACGACGCGGAGAATGCGATTTCATTCCTTTAGCATCGCGATCAGGAGCCCGAACGGGAGATTTCATTTCTCGAAACAGCGCGCATGACCTTCCAAGGCGAGTTCAGGCTGGCCGATTCTGGAAAACCGGGGGTCGCCACGACGTCCAACACTTGTACAGGGGGAAAAAGTTTTCCCCGCCAATTAGAACCGCGATTTGTCGCTACGCGCCGTGTGAAAATTACTCTACTTGGGTTCCTGTTACGCCGCTTCGCTCGAATTAAACATCTGGTTTAAATACGTGCACGATTGAGGGAGAACTGGGGTTAATTTCAATATGGTAACTTGGCACGGTGATCAATTAAGGATCTCCAGGAACCGTTTAACGAGGATACCTCTTCCCACAAATGGCGCTAATTACCAAAGAGTACACAGAATTTCTTGAATCGTCAAGGTTCGGAGTCGTGTCCTCGGCGCGTTCAAAGGATCAATTCTGGACCATTCCGTGACAGAAAGCCATGCGCTTTTAATTGCAGCTTTCGGGAATTGTAGCTTTTTTTTGTTGCTAATGCTCGTTTGATCGTAACGCAACGTTCCAGTCATGGTTCGTTTTTGCTGAAACTTTCTGTCACGCTTGGGTCTCGTTTGTCCATCTACTTGCCTCTACCCACATTAGCTCTGACCCCTCTTCAATCTTTTTCCTGCGGTATCGTCCATTTTACCTGACCAACCACGCCGCTACGTGAGCCTCGTTACCTGCCTACTCGTTTAAAGGAGACGGGAAAACAATCAAGACAAGCGGAAAAGTTCATCAGCGTGAAACGTAAGAGGGAACGAAGAGGCGAGGATCGAATCGGAGGCTGGCCAGTTCCGGCGGAAAAATACCAACTCGAGATGATTTATGCCTGCTACGTTCGATTATCGCCAACAGGAGAGAAACGAGCGTTTCTTTGGATTACACGCGTGTTTCATTAACCCGTCGTTAATTAGTAATTAATTCAGGGCTGTTCTTATCGAGCACCGAATATCCTGTTTCTGTTGCAACGTTCTATTAAACTTTTAAATCTTCAGTAAGAAGAAATTTATAATTATTTTTGCAATTTGAAAGAAAAATTTCTGCGTTAATGATCCTCGCGTTAAAATAGAAAATCTATATGGAATCATTAAAAGGAGAGGTCAAAGGAATGGTCATAAGAAAGCCTATCGCAGAGGCCGGTAGAAAAACAGAAGGAGATTCGATCGTAATTGAGCAACGGGGTATTTCGTTAGCGACTACCGTTCGGTTCGATTGGTTATCGAGAATCGATCAGGAAAGCTTCCGGTTGTCGGGTGTTCGCAGTCGTAGAAACCACCTACTTCTTGCCTCTGCTGCGGCTCGTACCTGTTGAAAGATATGACGTTGATTGCTCGTCGTTGAGGACCTCGGGATGAACCGTGCGAGTCGATGACCTCGAGGATGCTTGACCCTTCTTAGAAGGAGAAACAGGCGAGAATCGAAAAGGTAGTATCGAAGAAAAGTGGATTTCCGTTCCGTACTTCCCCTTAGTCGCGGCATAAAATTAAATGTCACCGAGATACATTTCACTTAAATTTCACGATGACAAAATTCATGACAGTAAAAGTCGCTGTTCGCCGACACGTGAAAATATACCTTTTGCAAACAGAACGAAGGAACGGAAAATAAACGTTCGTTAAATAATAAAAAGCATGATTAAACTACTATTAAAGTCGAGCGTAAATCACTGTGGAAGACAAAGCGAAATATCGTTTATCGCCGTGACTACCGCCCAAAGGAATTTTAATTGCTCTTCAATTATCTCCGAAACCTTTTGCTTCCTCCTACCATAAACACAAAGAGTTTCTATCTGATGTACAATTCGTATCGTGATGGTTGAAATGAAATATTTTTTATCTGGAAATAGTTTTCCCAAAAATAAACCATTGAATTTTTAAGAATCTGAGGACACGATTAGAAGGCGAGTGAAGAGTAGTTTCTCTTGATTTTTTGGGTTAATAAAGTTCTCTGACGTGGTCTATGACGTAGATAGTAGTAGGCCGTGTACTCTAACTCGAAAAACATCGTAAAATTAAAATTTTGTGATTTCCACAGTCCGATTTGTAGTTAATAGTCTAAGTGCAAAGTTAGGCATGATTTTAAATAATCTTCTGCACTACTTTCAACTAAAATGGAGATTTTATTTCAAATAGAAATGTCTTTAAATTGAAAATTATTCGCTATCTGAAATAATTTCCTTTTATTTGAAAATTTAATTTAAAGAAAAAATTATTTCTAACTTTTCAATATTTCCATTTTATCCAAAATATGTATCGGAAGATTATTTGAAATAACATCTAACTCTGCCTCAGTGTAAGTCATATTCAATAGGAAAATATTTTTGACGTTTCACAAGTAATTATCTTCATCAAGGATCAACACTAATCGGGCATACCTGAGATAGTATCAACGTGGTAAAAATTAGGAAAGACAGGATCAACGAAGTTTTCATTTATTTACGAGGAGGTGGAGAAGACGGCAGCGCGTCAGATAAAACGAGCAGAAGAGGCGGAGAGTTTAGTACGAGTATCCGATGGGAGTCCAGCTCGTTCTCCTCCACCACGGTGCCTTTACTCAAAGTGAATTTGTCGATAACGTCCCACGCCTACCCGTCCGAATAATTAATCACCTGTTCCCGATGAACTGACGTACCGTTAGAGAAACCTGCCCTCGAGGCTCCGTCGATCTTCTAGCGGGTGAAAAAACAATTTTAGGAACATAATGATCGCGCCAACATCAAAGAACCCTAACGCCATAGATTGCTTATCGCTAAAAAAGTGAAACAATTTGAAAATATTTACTAATAAATTACGAAATTTTTCACTTGATTAATTGATTAATTATCCTCCCAACCAAAATCCACCCCTTTGAATAAAATATTGATTACTCTTTAAGGACAGAACATTTCTAAGCTTGCACAGAGTATTATTAATTTAAACTGTAAAAATTAATTATTCCATTCGTCAAAGCATATATGATAAATATTTACTTTCTACACTTACAGCTGAATATAACGTAATAAATAAAGAATTATAAATTACTATGACAATTATACTATTTGAACATCCATATGCACCCATCAGCCGCAAAGGGTTAAATATTTTTTACCTAAGAATATCAACCTAACAAAGCAAAGAATCCTGAAACGAACCACGTGTATCGAGGAAAACACGAGGGCGAAGAAACCGAGCACCAAGGCCTCAATGTGTCCCGAATTTCGGGGATCCTCTCAGGTGACTATAAAGTGCTGCATCCTATAGACCGTAACCCCGAAGCCGGTAAGAAGAACTCCGGTAACCCGATATCGTCGAATTTTACCAGGGAATTTTTATGGGGCCGCATAATGGTGTTTTAATTGCGCGGCCTCGCCGTCTGGGCTTGATTAAGCAGTAAATTCACGTATTCATAAAACACTGTAGTTTACGAACGCACACGATCCACACACGCACAAACAAGCGCGTGGGCAACGTTGAATTTTCATTTTGCTTTCGTACACCTCAACCCTGTAGTTGACGCTCCTTCTTCATCTTTCAATTCTCTTTTTTTTTTTCATTTTCTCGCGGAGAGGCAATTTTACGGGATGTACACAGGTCGGTGTCGTTCCGGAGTTCCAAGATGTCCTGGCCAATCGCGGGGTATCCTTTGGTCGCGTTTTACGAGGAGACAGATGATCCACGACAGCTTCTTGATTAAGCGAAATCCACTCTTTAAGTACATGACTCCGCGTTATTTACAACACTAATTAGCTGCTAATGACGATCAGCGAACGCGTCTTAACCTTTCCGGGGCTGCGTTCAACGGATGGTGCAACATTGTTGCGCACCTGGTTCATTTCTTGAAGAACCAGAAACGGAACGATTATCGTTCAAGAACTGAAGGCTGTGCAATTCAATTGCAAATATATAGCTCGAAATATTTAATTAACC